CCGGTGGCGACCTGGAATCCCCCAAAAAGGTCACCGCTGGGTTTGGGGACACGGGGTCCCCACCGGGTTTTGTGGCTCCTGGCCCCGCCAGGGTTCGGGACATCCTCGGAAAACCGCACGCGTCCCCAAACCGGGTGGTGACACCAAATCGCCCGAGACTCACCGCCAGGTGTTGTCACCACCACGTTTGGGGACTACCGAAACCTTCAACCTCGAATCCCCCCCCCCCCCGGGAAGCCTATTCCCCCCCTAACGTTGCCCCTGAGGGCCCCAGGCGGTGAACTGGATCTTCTTGAAGTCCACCAGCGGTTCCCCGTCGACGAAGTAGTCCGTGTCGGGGTGGAGCATCCCCTCGTCGGGCTCGCACTTGATGACCGCGAACTCGCAGCCCTCGTGCCTGATGAGGTCGCCTCTCCGGAGGACCTCCCGGGTGCGCTGAGGCCCTGGCGTCTCAGTTTCTTCAGGCTGGGCGCTGCCGACCACCTTCGGGGCCCGGGGCCATCACAAATCGATCCCGCCCGAAAAATGACACAGAACGGTGGGCTCCAGGGTTCTGGCCGCGATGTGCCACGCCGTCTCATTGTCTTCGCGCCGTCGGCTCTCAGCAGGGCTGAACCTTAGCGGTGTTTTTCGTTTTTCGTTTTGTTTTCGTTGTCCCTCGCTTTTGTCTCGAATCCGCCTGTACCGCAAAACGAAGTCGAAACGGAAACGGCCAACGAAATCACCAAAGACAGCGTTTGGGTCCAGCCCTGCCTCTCAGGGTGCGCCGAAGACCGACCCCCTCGGGCCATGAAGAAACCACGACGCGTTTGCTTGGACAATTCCACGCCCCATGGGGGAACCTCGTCGGGCCCCGGGGACCGTCGGGAGGAAGGTCCAGGACGAAAGGCTGGCCCCCGCGCAGGGAGCCGGAGCTCTGGGGCCCCGCCATAAGAGAATCAGCCCGTCGGAGGTCTGGGGAGGGGGGCCATGAAGAGACCCAGAGATCCGACGCCGTGATTTTTCCATGCGGGGTCCCCGGAAGCCTCGACCCATTCCCCCGGAAGCCGGGGCCATGAATCGGGGACGCGCAAACGTGGGTTAGCGATCCATGGATTTGGCGCGCAGTCGCCAAATCCATGGATCGGGGCAGGTGCCCTCCCCAAAGTGCGGCCGGTGCCGCCTCGCTCGGCGGCGGGGATCCGCGATTTCCTGTGGAAACGGAACCCGTCGCTAATCCACGCCCCCTTGATCCATGTTTGCGATCGCCTGAATGAAGAGACCCAGAGATCCGACGTCGTGATTTTTTCCACACGGGGTCCCCGGAAGTCTCGGCCCCTTCCCCAGGACCGGCTTTTCATCCTGAGTCGCTCCTCGACGGCCTCGACGCCCATTCGCCGGACCTCGGGACTGTCAAAAAACGACGTCGTTTCTTGACGGTCCCGAGGCCCGGCGAGGGCCCCCAGGGGCCGAACTCTGCGACAGACCTCCGTCTTTTGCTTCTTGCCCAGGCGTTGGCTCTCCGGGGAGGGGGCTGCGCCTCACGGCCCGAGGCGTGTCGGCTGCGCGCCAGGGCGGCCCCTGGGCCCAGACCCCCGACGTAATGATTTTTTCATTACGTCGACCCCAGAGTTCTCGACCCCTTCCCCAGGACCGGTTTGTCATCCTGAGTCGTTTTTTGACGCTCCCGAGGCCCGGCGAGGGCCCCCAGAGGCCGAAAATGGCGAAAAACCTCCCGTCATGATTTTTTCATTACTCGAGGGGGTCTGGGGGCAGGGAGTGGCCTGCGGTGCGCGGGCTGCGGGGGCGCAGGGCGGCCGCCGCCCGGCGCGCAGGCAGCCGCTGGGCGCATGTCGCGCCCAGCAGTCCGGGGGAGCCCCAAGGCGGGCCCGCACCAGGGGTCCGTCCAGCGAAGGGTCGCTCTCACGCGTAGTCTTCAGTGGGGCACGTCCCCCTACTGGGGGGATTCTGGACGAAAAATATAAAGATACCCAAACAAATACTCTAAAATCGTCACAGACGGTTTAAACAAATCGCCCCCAGACTATTTTTTTACAACTTTTGCATAACCCTCCTGTAGAGGGAAAGACCCGGCTCGAGGCACGCGCGCGGACGAGTGGTGGCCGGGGGACGTGTGGAAGGGAACGTGGAGCGGCCACGACAGCCGGGAGAGGTCACGGCCCCGGCCGAGAGATCTCTACTAAAGGGGCCCTGGGACACACAAATAAAAGGACACAAATCACAGGATTCCCCATGTTTTCTCATATTTTCTCGGTTTTCGTCTTCCCCCCCCGCTTCCCATATTTTCCCATATTTTCTGGGAGTCGACGATTGATTGTGTCTGTGTGATTTTTCCCCTCCTGATCTACGCACCCTCATCGACGCCCGGTGGCTCCCGGATCATGTACCCCTGGCCTCCGGCGGCCGGTCGGGACGATGCGGGCACCCCCGGAAAGCTCTCGAGGAGGCGCAGCTCCCGGGAGGCATCCCGAGGCGAGGAAACCTTCACGAACCAACGACGCCTTCCTCCAACCCTTTCTTCTAGGGGGCGCAGAAACAATATAAAGCACACGCCGCCGGTGGGAAAGCCATCAGCGTGCGACGGTCGAAGAAGCACCAGGCCTTCGGACAACAAACCAAGGAGTCACACGCTGACGGGCTTCCCACGGTGGCGTGTCGCTGAAACTCGTGCACGGAGGAGGAGGAGGAGGAAGAGGAGGAGGAGGAGGAGGAGGAGGAGGAGGAGGAGGAGGAGGAGGAGGAGGAGGAGGAGGAGGAGGAGGAGGGGAGGAGGAGGAGGAGGAGGAGAGGAGGCGGAGGAGGAGGAGGAGGAGGAGGAGGAGGAGGAGGAGGAGGAGGAGGAGGAGGAGGAGGAGGATTCCTCCCGATCTCTTGGACGCCCTCGAGACCTCCTGCCCGTCGCGCCTTCGCCGCAGCTCCGGGGCGATGAACTCGATCCTGCTCCGGTCGCCGAGCCTCAGGGAGCCACATGTCGGCGGCGAGAAAGGGGGGAAGCGAGAAGGGGCGGGCCTTCTCAGAAGGCCAGTCGGAAGTTCCCCCAGCCTTCCGAGAAGTTTCCTACGCCTTCCCCGAAGACACAGGGCACTTCCTCAGAAGGCGCGAGGGCTTCTGAGAAGTCCCCGCCGCCTTCTGAGAAGGCCTTCTGCTTCTCACTTCCCTCCCCTCGCTCGCCGCCGAACATGAGGACCCCACCCCTGCAGGGCACATGCCACAAAACGCCGGCTGGGGGGCTCGATGAGTCATCATGAGACCAATGAGCTCTCAAGCTGTGGCTGCGCAGTGCTTTCCTCTGCCTGGCTCCAGAACGTGTCGGACGACTTCTAGACTCGAGCCTCGGCGGCTACAGATGGCGCGGCGAACATACATGCATACACGCCTGCAGCAAGTCATGCGGCAATGTGTTCGCAATCGTGCGCTGCATGGCGTGGCAATGAGGCTCTGGACAAGTGCTCCGAATGTAAAGGATTTCTGCAGCCAAGTGAATCCCAGCGGGGGTGTCCGATACCCTAGCGTCGATTCGGCGCGCAAGGGTACTTTGTTTGATGTCTCTAATACAGAATCTGTTGGGCATGCAGCCCGCACGGTGTGAAAAAGTGGCACGGTCATTTCCGCCTGGATAGAGGATTGCGGATCTGTCAACAATGGTATGGCGGAAACAGCGACGGCAAAGTGGGGCGGAAATCGATATCAGAGGAGCTCGAAAAGGTGAGGAGGGAATTGCCGTCCTACTTGCGACAAGAACGAAATGACGGCGGATCCGGAGTCGGGGGCTTTCGAACCACAACTCGGGCCTCCCAGGGCCTTTCGGGACGAGCCCAGCACCCCCGGAAAGCCGTAAGCCCGCGGCGAGGCGCAGCTGCTGGAGAGCACCCCGAGGCTGGAATGCCGCCGAGGACCGAAGAGAACACCCAAACATCTCGAACCTCAAAGCCGTCCTCCTCCTCCTCCTCCTCCTCCTCCTCCTCCTCCTCCTCCTCGAGCCTCCCTGGAACCCCAGCGGGGATGCCCGAGACCCCGGCGTCGACGGGACCCGCAGGGGGTGGGGTTGCCGGCTGGCCGCACAGAGCCTGGCGGCCGCCTCGGCGAAGGGCAGGATGTGCAGTCTCTGCAGGCACGCACCCGGCGCGGCCGCGGCCGGCCCGGGCGCTGCCGCGGCCTCCTCCTCCTCCTCCTCCTCTCGGGTGCTGCCAGAGGAGGAGGAGGAGGAGGAGGAGGAGGAGGAGGAGGAGGAGGAGGAGGAGGAGGAGGAGGAGGAGAAGGAGGAGGAGGAGGAGGAGGAGGAGGAGGGAGGAGGAGGAGGAGGAGTGCGCCCTGGACTTCCAAGGACCCTCAGATCCGCGCATCCCGACATCGGATCCGCCGCACGTTGGGCGTATTCGCCAGCAGGGCGGAAATGTCCGCCCTGTTTCTCAAGCTCCTCTGAAGAGGCTTACGCCATTGCGCCGACCCCCAGAAGAGACGTGGAGTCCACGGTTGAGGCGTCGTTGGCTTCTTGGGCCTATGTGGGGATTCTTGTGGGCGTCTGGGGAGCTGTTTGGGGGCAGTTTTGAAGCGTGTTGGGGGCCGCTTTGGGGTATCTTTTGGGCCTCTTGAGACTTATTGGGGGCCTCTTTTGGGCCGCGTGGGGGCTTCTTAGGGCTTTTGGGGGGCCTCGTGGTGCGGAAAGATAAATTAGTGTTCTCCCTCTTCGCCTCTCTTGGGGCCCTCATGAGAAGATCTTTGGCCGTATTCGGCCCCTCTTTCGTCCGTTTTGAAACCCTCTTGGGCCGTCCTGGGGCCCTCGTGTGGGCCTCTTGGGCAGTTTTGGGGCGGTCTACGGGGCCGTCTTGGGCCGTCTTGGAGCGTCGGAAGCTTGAGAAGACGATGACCCCAGAAACACTGAGCAGTCTAGGGAAAGCCATTGATTCTTGCCTCTCGGGGCCCTCTTGGGAAGGCTCTTGGGGCGCCTCGAAGGCGTCTTGGAGCCATCGCAGGCGTCTTGGGCCAATCGTTCCGCGATCCGGGGCCGTCTTGGAGCGTTTTCGAGGCCACGGGTTGGAAGCTCCGGAGTCTCTGGGGGTGCGCCGAGGAGCCCAGAACCCCCCCCCCCGAAACGGGATTTTGGAGCCTGGGAATGGGGAAAGGGGAGAGGGGGGGGGGCAGCCAATCATCGCACACGCCTTCTCACCCATGGCAAGCGGCAAGCGTGGGTCGGCGGATTTCCGCCCTGCTTTGCCGTCGCTGTTTCCGCCAAACATTTCTGCTGACATATCAGCCCCACCTGTCTTAGGTGGTCATTGCCCCGCCTTGTCGCATCGTTCGGGGTGCACTTCCGACGAAATCTAAATCGGAGAATCAAGCAAAGTGCGGCGGTGTTCGCCCAGTTTCTGGCCCAAGGACCCTCACATATCGATCCAGCTCGAAACATGAAGCAGTAAGATGGGGTCCAGAGCTCGAGTCGTGATTTCTCACGGTTGCAATTTTTGGCTACGTCGGATCCCAAGGCCCTGGGGCCATGAAAAAGCAACGACGGATGGTTTTTGTCTCATTTTCGGCCTCTGGGGGCCCTCGCCGGGCTCCAGGACTGCTGTTGTGGAGCGACCTAATCAGGGATAACGATTAAAAGACCTCCCCAGCGGAATCGGAGGACCCCTCATCCTCACCCTCCTGGGGGGCCTGGCACGACTTGCAGGAGGAAAAGCCGGTCCTGGGGAATGGGTCGAGACCTCTTGGGGTTGTGAACAGATCATGGCGTCGGGGGGTCTGGGGGAGATTCGATCTCTTTACAACCAGAACAACCACTTTACAACCAGATGGGTTACTTTACAACCAACATAGGATTGGAAAGTATGGTTTTTCATCGAGAACGTCCACTTTGCAACCAGAACGGCCCACTTTACAACCAGAACGGACCACTTTACAACCAGAACGGGCCACTTTACAACCAGAACGGACCACTTTACAACCAGCTCAGAGTGGTCGTGCGTGTTTGGGCGTTCCGCAAAGTGCTCCAGAGCAAGTGGGCGCTCTGAAAAATGCCCCAGAGCAAGTGGGCGCTCTGAAAAATGCTCCAGAGCAAGTGGGCGCTCTCAAAAGTGCTCCAGGGCGCGCGGACGCTCTGAAAAGTGCTCCAGAGCACGCGGGCGCTCTGGAGCCCGAGCGCCTGAACGTCCTGCGCAGGCCCCAGCGATGCCTCTGAGCCCGAGGACTGGACGCCCGAGCCCCTGAACTCTCTGCGCAGGCCCCAGCGATGCCTCTGAGCCCGAGCGCCTGGGCGCTCTGCGCAGGCCCCAGCGATGCCTCTGAGCCCGAGGACCTGGACGCTCTGCGCAGGCCCCAGCGATGCCCTGAGCCCGAGGACCTGGACGCTCTGCGCAGGCCCCAGCGATGCCTCTGAGCCCGAGCGCCTGGACGCTCTGAGCAGGCCCCAGCGATGCCTCTGAGCCCGAGCGCCTGGACGCTCTGGCGCTCTGAGCCCAGCAGACTAAGACAGGGCTTGCTAGCAGGGGCCAAGCGGCCTCAACAAGGGCCCCGTGCTCGCACGGGAATAAGGCGACAGCATACGTAGGAAGGCTCAGGGCGACGCGCTGCCCATTTTAGGGATCACTCACAGGAAGCGAGCCCAGTGGCCTCCACAAGGGCCCAGCGCCCCAGGGAACTAGGCCATTGGCACCGCGGGTCTCTTGGGCCACGTTGGCCCCTGAAGCCCCACGGTGTTCTGCAAGGGGCAAAGTGCTCCAGCTCCAGTTGGCCCCCTGCTGCTCCTCTTCTTGGAAGATCGAGGTTCAACGCTCCGAATAAATGCAACTATTTCGAAGATCGTTTCTTCCAGCGTCAGCCACAGTGCCAGCGCAGCAACGCAGGTATCCTGCTCGGGCAGCAGCCTCAGCCACCGTGCCAGCGCAGCAGCCTGAGCCACCGTGACAGCGCATCACCGCCACCTTTGTGCCTGATACCACCACACTTATCGCTGCAGCCCCGCTACCTCCACAATTCCGACTGACCCCCCGCTACCACCGCAAATCCCATTGCAGCCCAGCTACCACCACAGTTCCCACCGCTGCCTGGCGACCACCACAGTTGCCACCGCAGCTTCCCAACACCATGCAGTTCCCATTGTAGCCCCCGCTACCACCACATCTCCCACTACAGCTTCCCGCTGCCATGCCGCTCCAGTCTTGGACGGGATCATGGTTTATTCGTATGCCCTGCGCGACTAGCCTTCGTCCGTCAGAAAAAGGCAGAGCAAACAATGGAAGAACTGACCGACAGAGCTTAGAGAGCAGGTCAAAACCCTAATCCGCCCACCAGCACGCAACATTCCATAGCGCACCAGGTCGCCGCATCGCCAACGAGTGCGCAGTGCTTCTTCGTGCGCGATGGGCAACTTCACAACCAACATGCCTCAAAGAGCCCAAAGCCACCCTTGCGCTTGCCCACGGAGATTTCAGGGAAAGGCCCGCGTGCATTCAATATGTGGTTTTACTTGCCTGGTTGTAAAGTGCCCTTCCTGGTTGTAAA